GGACGGCGTCCCTCTAAAACCTGCAGGACGGCGTCCCTCTAAAACCTGCAGGACGGCGTCCCTCTAAAACCTGCAGGACGGCGTCCCTCTAAAACCTGCAGGACGGCGTCCCTCCTGGACCGACTTTGGGCATGAAGGTTATAACCGGTGGAACGATCCGTTAAAAGGCTTCCATAGAGCAGCGGTAAATGTCAGGTTGCTAACTAATCCTCTGGTTAGATGTAACCAACACTGATCTGTTGGTAGCTGAGACACTACCTGTCAATCACCTGCAGTGCTGTCAAAAGTTCACTCATTAGTTACTTCAGTAGAAGTATAGATCCTGCAGTTTAAAAACACTCTGGTAAAAGTTGAAGTATCAACTTGACCTCTTTACTTAAGTAAAAGTGAAAAAGTATGTGCTCCAAAAACTACTTAAAGTATAAAGTATAAAGTAACCTTTAATAAAAACAGCCAGATGGTGGTTCACTAAACGGCTCAGTTAAAACAATGCCACACTTTTAAGATATTTATTTGTAAAAGTTTAAAAAAAACAACATAATTTTCCTTCCAGCAGTCAGGTTTTTATCTCTCCTTTCAAATCTGACTGAAACACATTGAAGCTTTTATCTGCAGGTGAGAGAACATCTAGGACAGCTCTGTCTTCTGCTGCTCATTGGAGGAAATAAACAATCTATAAAACAAAAATCCAGCTTAAAATCTGAACGCCGGCCAGAAAAACTCAAAGTGAGATCAGAGTTCAGAGTTTCTGTGCTTTAAGTAGTTCTTCAGTATCAGAGGAATGTCCAAACTGTCTATTGCAGGGTCCTTATCAGCATGAGGGATGTGTCCTCGGATTGCCAGCCGGGCCTGGGACATCAGAGTTTTTGGACAAACTGTTGGTATAAGAAGGAGAAAAAAAAGGTGAAACATTTTAAGATTCTTCCAAAAAAGTTCAAAAACAGAGTCCAGTGGATTGATTTAGAGGTTTTTTTAGCTTTGACTGTGACCTGGATGACGGACAATCTTCTCCAGCAAACATTTAAAGAAGCTAAATGCCTCCGTCTCACCTCTCTCCCTCAGCAGCAGCAGCAGGGCTTCATTCTGCTTCGTAGTTTTATCGATAATAAGCGTCGGTAAGTAAACGTCCGCCCCAAAGTCTATGAGCAGCTGAATGTATTCCACCCCACAGCCGTAACGCAGACACACCTCCACCACCGTCTTGGGCTGCTTGATCCTGGCCAGCATCTTCTCGTCTGTGCAGTTATAGTTGGGGTTGGCCCCATGGAGCAGGAGCAGCTTGAAGCAGCCCAGGTGTCCATAGACAGCCGAGATGTACAGGGGCCCCCTGCAGGCCGTGGCGTTGGACGCCCACTCTGGGACTTTGGGTCGGACGTCCACCTCGGCTCCAAACCGCAGCAGCTCCCGCAGGATGTCTACGTCTCCCTCGCGGGCGGCCGTCAGCACCGGGGAGCAGTTGTTGTACTGGCTGCCGTTGGGGTCGGCTCCGGCCTTCAGCAGCGCCGCCGCGCAGTCCAGGTGTTTCCCGCTCACAGCTGTGAACAGCGGCGTCTGGGCCTTCACATCCAAAACGTCGACCTGGATTTAAAGGGACAGAAAAAAGCATCCAGTGTTTAGAGACGCTGCGGTGCTTCCAGACTCACCGCCGCAGTCAGTGAGGTCATTGCACAGGTGGCTCTGATCCTCCCCACTGGATTGGCCATGGAGGGGGGTTAATGGTGGTTATGGGTTTCTGATGGGAGTTAAGGAGGTGTGAGTCAGGTGAGGTCAGGTGATAAACAGAAGATGGAACATCGTCATTCCAGATGTTGCTGGAGCACCGGATCCCTGTGCTCTTCAAACCCAGCAACACCCTGAGACAGAAACTGATTCCCCCCAAAGGTAGGACACCCAGAAGCAAGACCGACAAGGTGGTTTACGCCATTCAGTAAAGTGAAGAGTGCCAAGCACTTTATTCCTAATGCACCTTTTTCCTCCTTGTTTGCACCTTCTGTAACTTCTCTGTAACTTCGAGTGAATTTCTCCGCTGTGAGATCAATAAAGCTCTTCTAATCTAATCTAATCTAAGCAGCGACTACACAGGATGGCCATCCGGACTGGACTCAGCTGTTCACCTACAGCTGAAGGCTAAGGGACACGCGTTTGAGGACAACAACGTCCAGATTCTGGCCAAGGAAGACCGATGGTTTGAAAGAAGGGTTAAGGAAGCCATCTTTGTTAATCTGGAAAAAACATCTCTCAGCAGAGGAGGTGGTCTTAGACAGAACCTTTCACCTTACTTACAAACGGCTTTTAGGAACAATACCCAGAAGATTCACCCCTCACCCGAAGGCCTGGTTATCCTCCTGCAGCAGAGTTTTGCAGTGAGCTTGTAGCAGATATTTTGATTTATGCTTAATATTGAAGCGTGGTCTGCGCTATGTTATTCCACGCCAGAGGGCCAATCAGGAACTAGCTGTGGGTCTAGATACGGCCGAGGCGGTGAGGAAGTGGGGGCAAGTTTGTGCGACAACGGAGGGACATGAGGGCCAAAAAGAGCGGGGATCCAGGTGGAAAAAGGGTCCCAGCGTTCCCACAAACCTCGCTCTTCTAGCTGCTCCATCTTCACCAGTCGTTTTCCACAATGGCGGTCATACAAACAAAGCCAGCCGGTAAGGAACCAAACAGGAAATACGCATAGAGTAGAGCAGATGTAGATTTGACCAATCAGAGGCCTCCTGTCTGCGTTCACCTACAATTTTAGAGAGGTGCAGCAGAGTGTCTGCGGAAGGGGCGGGGCATATCTGCATTAAGTGCGACACACGCAGACGACCTGGTTTCAGAGCATAAACCAGCCTTGACTCACACTTCAATGAGGCATGACACTGAAAGCACTCTGATGAGGGAGGTAACGACCAATCAGGACTCCCTAACCACCATAAACACCCCATGTGACCTAAAAAAAACTAAATCTAGATAAGTTACTTTTTCCTAAAATAAGTGCTTGTTTTTTATTTTATGTCCGTCTTTCACTCAAACCAGGAGATAAAAGAGACATTTTGCCGATCGAACAAGACACTTTAGCTTTAAAATAAGAAAACACAGTTGAATTGTCTTATTTCAACTGCATATTATCTAATTATCATTTTATTTAGAGTGAAAATACTCATTCCATTGACAAACTATCTCATTTATTTGCTCAAATTAATGGTAAATACGCTTAATTTAAGACATTTTTTGCTTATTTTTAGATCATTTTTCCAGCGCAGTAGGAGGGATCAGAGCAACCTTTATTTTTTCCATTAATTCTTTGTTTCCCCTAAAGAACTGAAGAAGCTTCTTGGATGGAAGGAGAAACGTTTTCTAGAAAACTTTCAAACTCAACCTGTCTTCAGTTTCACCTTCATCATTCAGGAACATTGGGATATGCTAATCGATGAAGCTAATCTAGCTAATGACCAAAGCTACTGTATGTTCACGGAGTTCTGTTTGATTGAAGTCATTAGGTTTTTATTTCGGGGTGTCCAGCAGAGATCCACACTTTTCAGTTTTTCATCTGTTAAAATGTGAAAATAACTGGAGGTGAAAATGTGTTTTCTGCCACGTCTTTGCACCACTTTATGTCCGTCTTTCACTCAAACCAAACCCTGGCAGCCATATTGGATTCAAAGATACATGCAGCCTTCCACCCATCATGCACTGCTGGTTGGAAAGAATGTTCTAATAGTTTCTGATCTCATCCTGTAGAATGAAGTACCTTTAGGATGAGACGGTAAATCACTACACATTCCGTTACACCTAGATGGGATTAATACATATTTACACTGGAAAAACGATCTAGAAATAAGTGAAAATGTCTTAAATTAAGTGTTTTTACCCTTAATTTGAGTAGGTAAATGAGATAGTTTGCCAATGGTATTAGTATTTTTACTCTTAAAATAAGATAATTAGATAAAACGCACTTCAAATAAAACAATCCAATTGTGTTTTCTTATTCTAAGAGTAAATTCTCTTTTACCTCCTCAATTCAAGAAGGAATGCACTTATTTCAAGAAAAAATAACAAATCTAGATTTAGATATTTTTCCAGTGTATTGCTGAGGGTCATTAGTGGCTGTTTGTTTTCATCTTTAAAAATGTTTTTTTCCCCTGATTGGTTCACTGAACATTCCTGTCATCAGATAATCCATCTACTGATCATCCTCTTCAAGTCTCACCTCTGCACCGTGATCCAACAGCAGCTCCAGGCACCTCAGGTGTCCGAGAGCAGCGGCGGTGCGCAGGGGCGTCACCGGGACCCCCCAGCCGCTCGGGGCATCGATGCACCTCCTGTACTTTTCCTGAGCGAGGAGGTCAGAGAGCAGGGCGGCGTCGTCTGCGCTCACGGCGTTGTTCAAGGCCCGACCCTGCTCTCCGTCCTCGTCCTCCTCCTTGGGCTGCAGGAGGGAGAAGATTTTAGAAATGTCCATCAGACTCATGTTGACGGCCGGGTCCAGGGCCATGGAGGAACTTCAATCCAGGACGGATCAGAAGCTGTTCATCTGCAAAGCCACAGATTCTGTTGAGTCTCTCCTGCTGTGCAGCTTGTTTATGTTAGGATCTGTTTGGGTTGATCATCATCACAGATTATCCGCCGGCATCAAGTCTCTGTTAGCTCCGATGATGTTAAAGCTCCATCATAAAGAAGGAAGCAGAGTTAGAGACGTCCTTCTTCTACAGCTGCTATGAAGAGTAAAACTGTGTGAACAATGGGGGCCAGGGGCTCCTCTACAGTGGGGGGTGCACAGGAGGCTAATTTTAGGCCACACAGGGGGTCTGGCTACACTTCCATTCTGGGAGAGTGAAGGCTCAGGTTTATAATTAGAAAGGTGATAGAGCTATGATAGCAGAGCAGAACTCAGTCGTCCAGAATCGAAGCAAAATAAAGGCAGAAGTTCAGCAGGTGGACGACTTTAGAACAGACGATATTTAAAGGGGAATCGTTTGAATAGAAATCCGCCTTTTTAAAGCCTTTCCTTGTTATTTTTATCTCCTGATTCCTGACTGAGGGACCGTCAGCTGTGAGGCTGTCAGGGTGGGGGGGGGGTCAGCTGCTCCTCCTCTCCCCCATGTCTTCTCACTGCCTCATGTTTAGACAGGAGCCTCAGACTCATGCATTCCTTCAGCAGATGGCAGACTGTCAGGTTTCTGGCATTGTTCAAACACATGAAGGTGCTGTTCGCATTTATTGGACAGAGGATGATGATGATGATGATGATGTGGAGACGGGCGTTTCTGTCAATGCTGGCCCGGCGAAACCTTTCCAGGAACAGAGCCTGATGGGTTCCAACCAGAAAGGCCATTTATATCCTGGTATCACTTCCTTCAATGAAACAGACTCTTTGGAGAATCAAAGAAATATTTTAATCTCCTTTTACTAAAGATAAAAAGAATCTGCGATTTCCAGCCTGGTGGAGCTGCGCATTTAGTCTCTAGTGTCTTTAGAGCTCTTTGGTCTTTGGCCATGTTAGTAGTTGGATTTTTCTGGCAATGCAGCAATAAGAATAATTGTCTTGATGCCAAAAAGATCCCAACAGATTTTACTTTCACCAGTGGAGCAGTACGGCTATCGCCATAGTGATCCGCTTGATTTATGCATAGAAATAGCTTTATTATAATTCATGCAGGGAGTTTTACAGATTATATGGACACTGAAATGTAAGTAGAACAGGAAAGTAAAAAAAGATGAAAGAAAGAGGAGATAAAACGTCTTCATTCTGCTTCATCACCTGCAAAGAGATGGAAAAAGAACAAAACAACCAACAGACATAGAATAAGAGATACAATAAAGTAACGCATTGATACTATCGCTGAAGTATAAGTAGTATTATTTAATCTGACATGTACTCTGTGGTAGCTGAAGATCAGAATATGGGTTTAGTAGTTGGATTGTGACTGATTGTATGGGGTGGATCGGTGTCTTTATGCTGAAAGGAGCATCTAATGTAGAATAATAAGTGGAGGTGGACTAACAGGACAGTGATGGTCAGAAGGTTTGCTGGATAGCAGGTGATCAAATACTTAATTGCAGCAGAAACATGCAAATAAACGATTTTAAAAAAATCTTAAATTGTGATTTCTGGAGTTTTTCTAATCATGTCTCTTACAGATGACATGCTCCTAAGATAAAACAGGCCGGAACCCGACACCATGTGGAAGAACCTGAAAAATAGCAGAACGTTTAAATAATTATTTTCTTCACTGGAAGATCTAAAACATGTAGCATCCATTTGTATTCAACCCCTGAAATGATGTTAGAGAAGAACCTCTGATCCAATTTTAATTCTATTCAGTTTATTTCTATAGCTCCAATTCACATCATGTCATCTCAGGTCACTTTCCAGTTCACCAGA